ACTCTTACAACCATGGTTTGAACTTAGCATGTCTTCATGCTGCAATTCAGGAAATAACAGTTATTACCTTTTTTGGTATAATTGAAGCCATTTATCATTTCTTTGCTCATTCAACAACTCGATGGGACGAACTGTCAAGCGTGAATCAGAAACACGGTGGAGTGCAAGAGAAAAGGCAGTAAAAGTTGTACATGAAAAACTGGATGAATTGCTAGGACTGTTAGAGCGATTAAATGAGAATGGCAACACGACTGAAACAAAATGTGGTGCTCATAATATTCTGCAACGCATGCTTACATTTGATTTTCTTGTAATTTTGCATTTTTGGAGAAATCTTTTATCATCTATCAGTCGAGTGCAGAAACGTCTTCAGGACCCAAAAATGAATTTTAGAGAAGCAGCTGCTGATTTTGAATCTTTGAAAGAGAAATTGATAGAATCACGTGAAAAGTCCTGTCAAGAAGCATTTAAAGTGGGCAAGAATCAATGTGAAACATGGGAATTGACCATTGAAAGAAGAAAAATACGTCGTAAACGAATACCAGGTGAAAATGCAGCTGATGCTGGATTGACTGCTGAACAGAAAATTTATCGCAACATGAAGGGTCTTATTGATCGCTTGATTACAGAAATAACAGGAAGATTGTCTCGCTTACGAGATTTAGATTCACGGTTTGGATTTCTACTAGATGTGAAAAATATTGTTTCTGGAGATTTCGAAGACGGAAAATTGCAAGAAAAATGTTCTGACTTAGCAAAGAGCTATCCAGGTGATATTGATGGACCAGAATTGAACAGAGAAATTAAAGACTATAGAATGTTGATAAGTAAAAGAACGCAGACCGATTTTCCTGAACTAATGGTTGCAACTGATTTGCTAACATTTATAATTTCATATGGTGAAGATGTTTTCCCAAATTTAAGAATTGCATTGCAGATTTTGTTAACATCTGGGTTTCTATTGCTAGTTGTGAAAGGTCTTTCAGCAAGCTGAAATTAATTCTTACACACTTGAGAACCTCAATGACTCAAGAACGACTTAGTAACTTGGCAATATTAATAATTGAAAAAGACGTACTTAATACCTTCAATTTTGATAGTTTAATTGATACATTTCCAGCAGCAAAAGCACGAAAGGTTCATATAATGTAACTATGAATACCAGAATGCTACCTGTACAAGATCTAGTTGAGTATATGTACAGTTTTGTAAACTAATAACATTTGTTATTTGTAAACTTAACTAGTATTTTATCAATCTGTTTTATAATCCATGTACACCACAAGTGACTGGCTTCTCATATAAAACATAAGTTTCAAAACTAAGGATACTGGATGACATAAATATCAAAATGGTTTACAAATTATGTAAGAAGGCTATACTTCATTAGTTCCAGGTTTACAGTTGTGATATCGTGAGATGTTATATTGTGACTTTATTTTATGCCTGTGTAGGGCGGTAATTAATTATTTATATTATTGTCAGTAAGTGGGTAATGAGTCACAAATCATTTCAGAGGTGGGGGCGCCAAAAGTGTCTTTGCCCCCGTGTGCTGAGAACCCTTGCTACGCCACTGGCAGGTGGCCAATTAACAATTCGTTTTCTTCTAGAATGTTTCAATTTCACGTCTTCCAGCTCATAAAAGATTTATTGATTATCCACTTTTATAGCCACGTATGCAGTATTTTGTTACCTTTCGAATATATGGAAAAATACACCCTTTTTGAGCAAATTTTCATGCATAGCAGAAAGAAAATTAAAATTTCTACATGTAAGAAAAAATAACATAATTTCTAGAAACTGGTATATATGTTTAGATAGAAGCAACGAAACCAGATCTATGTCTCTCGCTATAGATAATCAATTCCATATCCACCCCCCTTTGCATAAGCTTATTGTTACGAAACATATTGTTAAGATATAGTCCAACTAATTGTTTAGTTTTCGATACTCTTGAAGCTTGATAAGGAGCACGGCTAGATAAATACCTACTAATCATCAAGTAAATAAAATAACTAACAAAGATATCGAAGTTATCGCTTTTGTCCATTGTCGTCATTGATCCCATAATAATTAAGAACAGAACATTTTTCTCAGTTTGCTCCAGTTTTTGTTAGTCTTAATACACATTGAAGTGAAGTTAACAACAATCAAGATATATTCCGAGTTTGTAGAAAACTAAGTTCATTTTTTTTTTAAATCCCTCTCATCTTTTCAAGATGGGAAAGCGGATTTCTCTTGCTTTAGTGTTTCTCCTTGTTCTCTGCAGCAGAACAGGTAAGAATAAGACTTAAGAGTAATTTTATGTTACCTAATTATGTTAGGAATTCGTTTTAAAAATTTTAAAAAAAGTTAGTTATTAGCCTGAAATTTTCGAATTACAAACGTTTGCACTTTTGAATTATATATTACAGCTCTAAACGTTAATATCTTAGCAGCATTTTTCAAATACGGATTGAATTGGAAGTTGCACAAATTTTCAATGTGGTCGAATTGTTTTAAATGTTGCACACCTAATCAAAACCCAAGTACCAAGAACACACATATTTACTCCTATTTTCATTTACAGTGGTACCAATAACATACATACATACACTCCTATACGGTGATACCAATAACACACATGCACTCCTTTACGATAACACCAAGAAAACAGATATTCTCCTTTACAGTGATACCAATTACACACACATATATATTCTCATTTACAGTGGAACCAATATTACGCATATATATCTTCTTTTTCAGTGGTAGTTATGGTAACAACTAAAGAACTCTATAAAAGTTTAGTTAGAAAATAGCATGCATATTTTTAGGCAGATGTGCAACACACTTTATCAAATTATACGTCAATAGGTATATATGATAGAAATATCGAGTGCAGGGTTAGGTTAGCATAAAAAATAATAGTAGTTACAGGTTCCTATAATACTAAGAGAAAAAAAATCTTGCTTTTGCGAATAATCAAGTACTTAACCGTGTATCCACGTGGAACTGATAGTATTCAGGAGAATCTGTATAAGCAAAAATACGCCCCTTGGATTGTATTGATATTATCACATACAGCCAGCAAACGTCAAGGGGTGTTTTTGTCACAGAAGAAAAGTGCCAAGGTTAAATCACGTGCAGTCTCATAGATTAAACAATCTTAACCATTCAAAGTTCTAGGGGAATATGGAAAATACACCAAAATAACTTATTTCACACATACTCGTGAAGGATTAATATATGGTCTAAAGATGTAGAACATCTCAGTTACCAGGACATAACCTTTAGTAGTATTATTTTGATTATTTTATGTGATATCGTATAGAATGGTGTGATCGAAATTATTATACGGAGTAATATCCATTTTAGTGACACTATTTTCCGTTCTATAGTAAGAAAATGTAATTGTTATGAACCGGAAATATTACCATATACACTCTTACAACTACTGAGTGTATAACAAATATATTGTAATGACATTTCTTTTCACGAGATCTTCTGTACCAGTAGTAAACAAACTTTTTGGGCCCAGCATGGCCAGGTGGTTAGGGCGCTCGACTCACAATCTGATGGTCGTGGGTTCGAATCCCCGTCACACCAAACATGCTCGCCCTTTCAGCCGTGGGGGCGTTATGATGTGACGGTCAATCCCACTATTCGTTGGTAAAATAGTAGCCCAAAGAGTTGGCGGTGGGTGGTGATGACTAGCTGCCTTCCCTCTAGTCTTACACTGCTGAATTAGGGACGGCTAGCGCAGATAGCCCTCGTGTAGCTTTGCGCGAAATTCAAAACAATCCATCAATCAAACTTTTTTATGGCGCACACCTTTCTGAACATGCGTTTTGTTACCCTCACCCCCATTGCACTGCTTATTTATGTATATACTGTACATGTCATTTTCCCATATATATCGTTGTTAATTTATTATTATTTAATAATGGTAATATTTGTATGGTAAAATTTTTAACTTTTTTTTTAATTTATACTTTGAAACATAATTTATATGTTTCTATAATAATAGCTATGCCCCCTCCCCCTACAGACTCTCTGTGCTCTCCTTGTGGGAGAGGCGTGGATGGAATTTCTGGAAACGTACTATTAACTTAAATCATTGCCTGGCTTTGAACGTGGAAAACTTTTGGCGTAAATTACTGAGTTTCGATTTAGTTTTAGACGTTTGTCTAATCTTTAATGTTTTTAATTAAGTTAATTTTAGAAGCAACCTGCAGGTCGCGAGCTCGAATCTCGTCACCGAACATGCTCACCCTTTCAGCCGTGGGGGCGTTATAATGTGTCGGTTAATCCTACTATTCGTTGGTAAAGAGTAGCCCAAGAGTTGGTGGTGTATGGCGTTGTCTAGCTGCCCTCCATCAATAGAGACAGCTAATAAATTTGCGCGAAATTCAACAAATAAACAAACAAACAGTTAACTCAAATAAAATATCAGATTCAACAAGACAGATATTGGGAGCGAGAGTGTGTATTTGAAGAAAAACACATTGTTGTTGGTGTTGTAAAGACCGTTGGTAAATTAAAACTTTGTAACTGCTAAAGATGAGTTGAGAGTTCGGTTATCTAGGAAAACAAACACTAGTAGAAAATTGAACTGATTCAGATAAAAGTTAGGTAAAATATAAGCAAAAATAAAATGTCGTTCGTTAGATGAACATCAGCAGGATATGGGCGAAAAAGAATAATTACCAGTAAAGACACATTTACCAATAATATAACAAGAATTACTGTAGTAATTTCCCTCTATATTAGTAGCTCAACGGCAAACACGAGAACTCGTTACCCTACAAATCGGATTTCCACACCTGCAGTTGATAGATGCATGTTGACCATTGTGTAGCTTTGCACATAAGGAAACAAACAAATATTATTCATAACATATCAACAGACAAACATTTCTAATCACAAAAGAAACGTCATCCGACAATTGCTTAACAAATTAGAAAGCAATAACTACTCATAATATATCAACAATTCAAGTATCTTTATATACGATATCAAACAACCTTATACGATACTATAAAAACTCCATTTTGCTGTCGCGTGTTCTTACTGTTTTTATTTCTTTAATTATAATTATTTCATTTATACATTATTCTTAATAAACTATGGCAGCTGCTTTTACTATTTGAGATCTCTGACGTAAATAACTGAGTTTTAATTTTAAATTTTTGTATCCAATGGTATCTTGTATCTCGTGGATTCTACTTTTTGGAGAATTTTGTTGTTGAACGCTTTTACTTTCTTGACATTTGTTATGTCCCCAGTGGCACAGCGATATGTCTGCGGACTCACAACGCTAGAATCCGGGTTTCGATACCCGTAGTGGGCAGAGCACATATAGCCGATTGTGTAGCTTTGTGCTTAATTACAAACAAACATTTTTTGTTTGGAATTTCACTGGGCCAGTGTATTTTGATCTGGTCGACTTTTTCTAATGCAGAATAATGGCACATATTTCATTGGTAGAACAAACTGTTTTTATCATTATCGAAGTTAGAACATTTCATTTTGATCTGTTGAGTCCTCTGGTGATCAAAATAAAATTTTCTAATTGCATGTTACTCCTTCCATTTTTTAGAATTATTTTAGGGTGTTAAATTCTAAATAATTAAGCGTAAATACTTACAATTTGTGAAAGTTTAAATCTAAAGTTCCGTCCTTGAAAAAAAAAACACTTGTCATCTCGTCATTTATTGGAGGAGCTGTCGTCGCAAACAGTGCATAATAAATAATATCAGCAAACATTGGCTACTTTTAGCTACTTACCAACCTATTAAACGTATAAACATGAATATGATTCACAGATATCAGATCAGTTAATTTTAATCTGAAAAGTTGATTTGATTACTGCTTTTAAGATTTGATTTTATCTTTATAGTCATAGTCGCTAATCTTCCTTTGTCTTGTAAATTTAATACTATAAATAATTTCTATGCAGCGAGTAGTTATTGGGTTATACTGGTTTCGGAGAATTCCACTTCTCATCAGTAACCCTGGACACAAGTTAACCAAAGAGAGAGAAAGATAAGCTGGACTTATATCACAGTGAAAAGTATCAAACCTACTTTTGGTGTGAACGTGCTTTGGAAGCACTATGAGAAAAACCTATACACTGGATCTCCCTTGAACTTAGATTTCGAAATTAAACAATGTTTGGAATACTAAGTTTATTTATTATATATGCTATTGTACGGCTATATAATGTGAGGAAGTGAATAGTAGTCAATGTCACTTTTTCTTCGAAACTAGAATAACCTAATAACACACGTTGGTTAAAGTATGGATTGAACTGGACCTTCCTTGAACTTAGACTTCGAAATTAAATAATTTTCTGAATAATAAATTTATTAGTGTTTCGTGATGTAGCCTTAATTTGATTGTTGGTTAAAAAATGTTCTCGTTTAAATGACCACCATTTAAAAAAAACTAAAATAAACTCGTATAACCAGATCAGCTAATCGTGTAAACACAGTTTTGTTAAAGTTAATGCTTAGAGCAAAGGTTAGTAGATGTTTTGAAATTTCTAATGTTCACATTCCATCTTATAAAAACAATCGATCCAAGAATTCTACGTCCACCGGAGGGACAGCACTAAATCTACAGACTTATATCGCTAAAAATTCAGGGTTCAATCCCCCGCCCCCCGGTAGACACAGCAGATATCCCAATGTCGCCTTGCTCTAAAACAAACTAAATATTCTACACAAACGTTACCTGGTGGATTAAGTTTAATTCTTTGTTCAGTTTCCAACTCTTTAAGTAACAGGAAAAATCAGATTATAAACTCATAACACCTGTTCACAGACACTATTTTTTAAATAAAAAACGTATTATAAAATGTTTTTTTACAAATAAAATATAATTTAAAGCAAATATAGAACATACTGTTATACAAATGTAGGATGAGAATTTAAAAAAAATTAGATTTTGTTTTATTTTGTTAGAACTTAAGCACAAAGCTACACAATGGGGTATCGAAACCAGGTTTCTACCGTTGTAAGTCCGCAGGAATCCCGCTGTGCCACTGGGGGACAAAATATATATATCTTTCTTTAAACTATGAAAACAGACTGATTAACAACCATTAAATTTAAGTGTGAACATCGAGTAATTTTAACAATAACAACCTTTCACAATCATTTATGAATTATATTTATTGAAAACATAACTATTTTAGTTTGCTTAAAACTCTATGTTAGCGTTTTAGTGATTGTATCATTATTAAGTCCTATATTTTATTTTATTTCAGGATTTTCAGATCATGCGAAGTTAATTGATCTGAATCGCGAGAATGGACGTAATGCGCCAACAGAATGTAGGTTGAAGACGATGCTCTCATGATTCAGTGTTTTTGAAGTGTTTGATTCATATACATTTTCTGTTTCGTATTTTATTATTTGATTAAAAGTTAATAAGTGTAAAACATTTTTTTTTCATTTCTTATTAAATTTCATTGCACATACTGATTATCGTTACTTTAAGAAAATTAGGTACTTAATTTTACTATAAACTAGCTGGAGTACCCTTTTCCTAGACGGAAGTTACGTAAATTCATGATTAATGAAATGTTATCTTAGGAGATGAAAAGTTACTTCCTTTATAGGTAATTGTAAAAAACGCCCATAAAACTGCAAAACACAAAATGTGAAATTGCACTTTTACATGTATCTCGGCATGGATCCAACAAACCTTCATGCCACATTTGGGGAAGATCCATCAACAGGGAGCGAATTAGTGGTAAAAAACGCCCATAAAAACCGCAAAATGCAAAATTGGAAATTTGTATGTATCTCCCCATGTACTCAATGAACCTCCATACCAAATTTGGTGGAGATCAATCTACAGGGGGAGAAGTAGTGGTAAAAAAGATAAAAACCGCAAAATGCAAAACTGAAAATTTCTATGCATCTTCCCATGGACCCTACAATGAATCTCCATACCAAATTTGGTGAAGATCCAACTACAGGGGGCGAAGTAGTGATAAAAAAGATAAAAACACCCATAAAAACCGCAAAATGCAAAACTGAAAATTTTTATGTATCTCCCCATGGACCCTACAATGAATCTCCATACCAAATTTGGTGAAGATCCAACTACACCGTGCGAAGTAGTTATATGGATAGACAACAGACTGTACTGTTATATTCATATTGATATATATGATATCATCACTAACATTGGTCATTGATCCAAGTAACCAACAACATCATAGAAGTAAAGTATGCTTAGCCAATTAAACAATTCTACTGAAGTTTTTAAAAATCTTTCATATTGTAAATACCTAACTAAAAGTAAAACCAATAGGAAAAATAAGTGCAACTATTTTACCAATAGTTTACCCTCAAGAGCAACGTTTTAACTTTGAAATAAATAGAAATAAGCATAGGATTGTTATCAGTTTATATAATTAACATATTTCAAAATTTATAAATTGTTTTCCAGTAAACTGTAATATGATTATGTACACGCGAAACTACATTCGAGTGAGACGTAGTTTAAAATGGAGCAACCCTACATAAGAAAGTAACTTAAGTAAGTACATATTTGCATATTGTACTTAAGTCGAATCTTCAATTCTGATTCGTAAGTAATCGCAACAGAAGAGTCAGAAAGATGCATTATAAATTAAAATTCTGTGATTGTGTCGATACAGTAGAAATTCGTGTGACACAAATCACGTGTACACAAGTTGCTTCCACTCAGGGCTGGCGGTAAAGGGCTTGCTGAGGTGAACTACCCAAAATGGGTCTTAGCCTTTCCTATAACCCCTTCACCCAACAAAAAATACTTACTGTTAAAACTGTTTCACATCTCAAATACTACAGTACGTGTGACCATAGGATGTAGAGTGCACTAACCTCAATTTTTCGTTTAGCCCACCTCAGCTTCTCACCTGGAAGAAGCTGGCACTACCCCTGCTATCATGACATATCCGTTTAACCATTATATACCTTAAGTATCTGAAAAAATAAATATTTATATTTCTGCTTTCCCGTATGAAGACATATTGGTCGAGACGTCGGACACAGCATCTATGGATTTCTGTGTGATTAGACTGTTGAAACGAGTGCTGGGAAACATGTATGGAGGAGTGGTGTGCTTTCGACATGATAGTCTTATAACGGAGTCTTTTGCATTGGAAACGATGCTGCAGGACTATTGTCCATCTACATGGTCATTAGATAGAGCATGACAATCATTGGTAACATGGACTGTAACGACGTGGTGTTAAGCCTCTAAAATCTTTTTAATTTAATAAACTCAACCTCTGTATCAAGTAAAAAGCAAATTGAGCAAAAGTTCGATTATTGGTAAAAATCAGTTAGATTAACAACTTTTAATGTATAGAGAAACCAGTGCGTTTTGGTAACACTAAGTTCCAACAAAAAATATAACCTAATATTGTTGTTAGTCTATGTACTCAAAGTATAAAATGAAATGTATAGACAACAAAATTGGAAAAATATTTGTTGATTTCTTAATTTGAAGTCCCCGTTGATTAAAGAGGTTTGTGTTTTATTAAAAATTTGGTGATATAACAGAAAATTGCTTAATTCAGAAACGATTTAAGTTTAAAATTGAATCGATGTTTTTACTTTCATGATAAATTTTATGCACTTGGCTCTAAGCTAGGTGATCTTACACTACGTGTTTACTTTAAGCTTATTATACCAACACTCACTACACTTATAAGGTTTCACGGTACCCCTCCCCCGTCACTATAATCGTAATGGGCAGACAATAATCGAACTATTTTATCTGGATAAATGCATTTTGGCTTTTATAACTAATTGTATTTCGAGAAATCAAGCGTGATGCGACACACACACACTGGCTTTTATATAGGTTAGATTTTACTGTCTTACTGATTTCACGAAACTTCTTTCTTCTTCTTCAGCTCCAGTAAGCCATTTTTGTAATTTTGAGGATGGGATGTGTGACTGGAAGAATGATGAAACTAATAAAAATCTGAACTGGAAAATTGGACGTGGACCAATTTTGACTCCATACACTAGTCCAACTGTTGATCATACAGTAGGAACAGGTCAGTAACATGTATTAAAATGAAAACATTTATTGGTTTTGCAATACTTAATCATGTATTTAAAGATATCTTGTGCATTATGAGTAGTATTGTATATGCTGAAGATAGTGTACATCAATGATTTGATGCTAGAAAAACTTCCTTTTTGCATTTGTTATTTGTTAGAAATTTTAATAGGCTTCCTGATTAGACCATTGACATCAATAGTGTTGTAACCTATATTTGTAATATTTTAATAAAGATATTTGCAAGCAACGCCCACCCTAATACTTCTCGTCCATTCGTTGAGCATATCTCTTTTGGCACCACTTTTGCTCCGCGTATAGAAAATTTACTAGATGGGGCATGAGTGCTCACTGTTTGCTGCGGCGAAAAAGGTTGGTAAATACTGTTCTAACACATCAACATATTCATTGTTAATTTGAAGAATTTATGTTCTTTTTTTACAAAAAAAAAGAATATTAAACATAATACTGGACCATTAAGGGTCCTAATATACATTTTGTTATGGAGGAAAATGGATGCAGTTAAAGTGTTGTTGTAGTACGATTGTTATAGTTTTCCGTCTGTTAGGAGAAAAGTTAGTCATCCTGCTATTTTTTTGTTATTTGTTTATTGCACCTAATTACTTAATATTTATTATTTTATCAGTGCCATTTTATATTGCCAGGTGTGGTGGGAATTCTTTACACCGTTAGGAGCGTGTGCGCTTTTTAATTTTTTTTTATGGTGGTTACCACGGTAACTCAGTTGGCGCATATTTAAAAATTTGTCAGAGTCACGTTTAATGAGGATAAGGAGGAAGAGGCTCAATTGAACCTGACCCTCCCTGGTCGCGCACAACTGCCAAACACAGGTAAAGACAAAACAATGGAGATAATCTCGTTCCAGTATTTTGATAAAAATCTGTGTAAAATTGCCATATTATACATAATGATAACAGTCTTAAATACCTCTTTTACTATAAGAAAAAAAACCACCTGCACTAGACCTTAAAATATCGCTTAGAATGAGATATCACCAGTGTATTTGAAAGGATATTGTATGTGAAATACACGACTGATAACTATTTAAAGTGTAAAAAGTGAAATTTTACAACGGAACTGTTTATGGGTGTATACGACCAAATGAAGAGAAATATTTAATATGGAACTGTTTGTGAGTATATACGACCAAATGAAGATAAATGGTAAAATTTCACCAAATATTATAAGCATTCTATTCGTGGACATGGCTCTGAAGAGGGAAGTAAAATTAGTGTTTCTACTCGATGTTTCTACATTAGTGTTCAAACCTTAACTTCGTGGATAACTCTATAGCAGTTCGATATACAGAATAAAGGAGGGAGGAAGAGTTCTGAATAAAACCTGATCCTCCAAGGTCGTCCACAACGACCAAAATGCCGATCCAGACAAAATGGCAGATGAATAAGGATAAACAGCCTGTATTCAGTGAATATTTTCTTTTATTTCCTAAACGTATCTCCTTACAGATTTATCAAGAGGTAGAAACCAAACTGAACACAAGCCCAGTCTTACCTGAAAAGCTGTTTACTGACTGTTACTGTCGTGCTGAATCTAGGGTGGTTTGGGGGCATGTATTATAGTAATATATAATTTACAGTTATTACATAAGTCAAATATGTAAAAATAAGGATGCTACAGCACTCCCTATTCCGACGCCTCTGTAACACATTCTATCTTCGTCTTCACTACACTGTGAAGCAATTGACATAATGTTCTCTCACCGGCAATCCGAAACACAAGCCAATAACACGCCACCCGCAAAACCAAACTGGTGCTTGCACAAATAAAAATGAAAGTTGACCCTAACTTTACTAGAAAGCTTGAGGAGTTCTGAAGTTTAATATAATGTTATTAAAAACCAAATAAATACTGTGTGATTCTATGAAAAAAATCCAGTAAAATCTTATCTAATCAAAAACACCTTAGGTGTGGAAAAAAAAGTGCGGCCAAAAAAAGGATTCACTGTGCGATTTAAAGGAAAGAAATCGAAACTGGCGGCCAAACTAGTAGCTACACTTATAGCAGTGATAAGAATTTTACAGCAAATATTCATATCTATGCTATAAGTGTAGCTACTAGTTTGGCCGGCAATTTTGATTTCATTCTTATAAGTCGCAGGCTGAATCCTTTTTTGGCTGCACCTTTTATTTTTTTCACACCTAAGACGTTTTTGATTGGATATTATGACTTTTTGTCAGTACACACCAAATATGAAAGTGAGACCCGATAGTAATCAACATTAACTTTAGGATTGCAGACCTTTACTTTACAGAACCAACCAGATTGTTTAAAATACATGGTGGTAGTTTTCCTCTCTAAAACATTATTAATAGCTTCCTTTATACTAACGCTATGGAATTTAGATTAACAGTTTCTTGTCATCGTCCCCATGCAATCATACAGCCATATCAAGCATCGTTATTAATGCTGATTGCTTAAGCAAATTTCACGTAACGCTAAACACTCTTTAATTGGAATAATTTCATAAAATGTAGTAAATTGGTGCTGAAGAGTTGGCAGTGAATAATTAATAATAACCGTCTACCCGTATGATTCTTTAGAAAACTTGAGCTAGAAACTGCTAATATATTTTGCTTGACCTAGCCAATACTTATGTATCTGCACGCCTTTTCATCTTATAGTTTTTTTGCTCTAAATCGGCCGTCTTTAATCCGAATGACAACAAAACTAAAAACGGTCCACTTTTAGCCTTAGGGGAAGATGTAGTAAAAATGTCATACCGAAAGATAACGTGACTTTTTGCGTACGTGTGTAATTTTTTTGTTGTTGTTGAATTTGAGCGATTTTTGTTGAATAACTTTGTACAAGTGGTTATATTTACTCCGAGTGAGACTCCTAATTGTAGGTTGTAAAGACTTATCAATGTACCAAAATCTGAAAAGAAAAAATTCATAAAAGTATGTTTTTCTATCAAATAAACTTTTCTTACTTTTGGTGCAAAGAAAAAAAAAAGGAAGAAACTCAATCAAAATTGGAGATGTTGTATCTCAGGTATTTCTTAACGGATAACCTTGAAAGTTGGTAAGTGAAGTAAAAGTTCAGTAGAGCACATCCACTGAAAATATGTGATAGTTTGGATTACCACAGTCCTAGCTATAGAACGTGGAAAATCGCTAAACTATTACTTCTGATAATAATAATGCGTGTCCTGCAGGCTGTGTGTTTTTTTTTGGCCGCAAGACAAATCTCGCGAAAAGTTAGTAAAACTCTTATGTGAGTATATGTAAAGTCTGTAGAAAATCTCTATGAACTGTATTTCAGTCTTATATAAATATATCTGAAACTAATATAAAAAATGTGCATCAAAGTTTCTGTGAAGCTGTTTTTTCAGGCCAAGTCAAAGTCAAAAGTCAGGAATTGAGGGGTTGGTATTTACCCAAGGATGTTCAGAGACTGGGGTCTCTCTTTATTCGCTCTTGAATGATTTAAATGGTAAATCTCTATTCTGAAGTGTTGTACTATAAAATACTGGAGCTTTAGATGAATAGTCTTGCCTGTGACTGAAATTGAATTTCGGGTGTGAAGGGATACAAGAAAATAGACGGAGATGAGAAGAGCTTTCTAAGTGCTATTTTCTGTGTGAATTATATTGCTGTATTCCTTTTTTGTTCCAATTTAATGGTAGGGTCTATTTTCAATGCTCTTTTTTCATTGTTGTTGAGCTATTATTTTCTAGATTATTCTGGTTGTGGTTTCTGTTTGAGGGAGTTGTTATTGAGTAATGCTTGATTCCAATATTTTTTGTTTTTATATTTGATTGTAACTCATGTTCAAGGCAGTGGATAATACCATTCTTTTGTATTACTCCTGTCTGTTAGAGTCACTTTGGGATGTAGTCATCCATAGGGAGCACCACTTAGGACTAGGTATTTTATTCCCACTTCTGCAATTGTCACTATAGCTAGACGCGGTTACCATTTTTTGCTCTCAGAAAACACAGTTTCTTGAAGGCACTATTATTGTTCATGACATAACTCGTATGGCGATAGGATTATCTGCCACCAGGGGGTATTATTTAGTAGATGGGTGTGTGTGTGTTTAGTTTATAGCAAAGCTGTGTCCACCGAGGGGAATCGAACCCCTGATTTTAGCGTTATAAATCCGAGGACTTTCGGTTTTCCAATTGGAAAAGATGGAAGGAAGAGATTAGTTTGATTCAGTTTTTCTTTTCTGAAGTAATATTCCAAGCGTGAAAATATATGCTTGATATTTGGTAGTCTAGTTGTTCTGTATGGTTCTCTAACGTGAATGTATCCACATTATTTAGTGATTAATATTATTGCTTTGTTATGTATTCTTTGTAGATTAAGGTAGTTGCAGTCTGATGTTTTTATTGGAGTTACAAAGCCATAGTCTGTTGGTGTAAGTACAAATATTTTATATATGAGTAGTTTTATTTTTATTTGAAATGTGTTTTTAAGCTCTTAGGATATTTTATTCGTCACATGGCTTTAGCTGTGAATTTTTTTTATATCTTTCTTTCGTGTGAATTTTTAGGCATACATGACGCCCAGGAATTTTGCAGTTTCTGAGACTTTTATTTTGTTGTCGTTTATATTTATGTAAACTGCGTTTTGATAGGGTTGAATATCACTCTCCATTCGAAGCACCAAATCTGTATATGGTTTGGCTGATGTTGTAATTATTTTGATTCTTGCATTGGACTTGTTGATGAATACCATACTGCTACGTCATCCGCAAACAGGGAGGCTTGTGTGCATGAATGTATTTCGTTTTCTACATTTAAATTATTAACATATAAGATGTAGAGGAGTAGATTGATAACAGAGCCATGAAACACTCCAGCAGACGAACGAAAAGATTCGATGCTATTGCCTTTTATCTGTACACATCGGCTATTTAAAAAATCAGAAATGTGTCTTAAGTATATTTTAGAAATTTTGGAGTTTGCTAGCTTGTATCTAATCCCTTTGCGCTAGACTAAATCGAAGA